TCAAATGTGCATTTTTAATATACTCTAGTTCAGAAACAAAACAGAAAGGGCAGACCATTAGTTCAAGTCCAGTACGACAAAGTACACCCCTGTAGCAAAAACACCACAATGTCATTTGTATCTTTCAATGAATTGGCATCGCGTAGTTTTAATTATCTTTTTTAAATCATGCTATTTTACCAGTTACTTAAACAGTGTTCAATAGGCCAAAACTGCCATTTGCACCAAGAGGTCATGTGACATTGTTTTTATGAAAATGAAAGTTATATGATTTTGCCTTCGAAAAAGGATTAGTGGGTCGTATCTTATATAAAATAATAGTTACTTGGTTCTTCAAAGCCGCACCATTTTCTTAAAATGATTACATGACCAAAATTGATTTTTAAAATTATGAAGTATCTCTTTCTGAACACAAATTGTGCACTTAAACTTTAAGGAAAATATTGAAAATATGTGCCAACGTTTACAGCACATCTGAGCATAACTATCACACATTTACCAAGATATAAGCTAAAAGTAGTTTTGGCCGCCATGTTGGAAGGCATACTTGCCCTCCAAAATGCCGGCCAATACAAATCATACTACTTTGTTGAAAAATCAGAGTGCCATAAATATCTCCCTTGAATGCGTTTCCTCTCAAATTTCAGTTCAGGCTGTTGTACGATAATTTTTACGTGCTCTGTCAATTTTTGGCATCAGCAAGACTCCAACTCATTGTTTAAAGGAAGCATTGGTCACGCGACATCTTAGTGCAAGTGGCCTATTCACTGGATTTGTCCATCTACATGTATTTCCTCCACAAAAATCAAGGAAAAGAAGAGAAAAAACAAAACATTATAAGTTTTGTCAGTTTATAAATACTATGAAAGAAAATTGTGAATTACTATGAAGATTATCACACCTTTTTATAAAATGGACTCTAATCATTGCTAGTTGTTTTGTGACCTTACTATTGCAGCAATGATATTAAGATTACATGTACCAGAAGGTTACAACCTTATGCAACTTATACTATGAATTAAAGTTCAAATAAACAAACCTACAGGCTGTATTCTAATATTTTATATGTAAGTTCAAGTCTCAAGTCCTTATAAATTAACTGAAAACTTTATTGCTTCTGACCTGTATAGTAGCCATTGAAACTTTACTTATTATGCTATTTCTTCTCCTTTTTTGCAATTGTCTAACATTGGTCTTGACAAGTCTGCTATAACCTTGTAGCGCCAGAACATACAGTTTTCAGAGTATTCCATTGACTATTTGCCACAAAGAGTACAGTTATTTCGATCTGCAGTAAACAAAAAGCAGCAAAAAGGGATTTGATCAATGGCATATATCTTTGCATGCATCTTTGAACTTTATAAGGTTATTTACGCAAAGTTATTGGAAAACATACCTTTCCACATTAATCCAGCTGAGTAAACTCACTTGCAAACATGCTTTATGTGAACAGAAACTTCGCAATTGATCACTTTGTCTCGAAAATAACATGGATAATAGAAAGACGGTCTTACGAAAATACTTTGTTGCTTGTGAAGTCCGCGTGAATTTGAACTATTCAACGGAAGTTCATTTCACACTTTTCTATTGGTTCAAAAGCCGCACGTGACAAAGTAAATCAAATCGCGCATGTGCCGAAGGCACACGTGGAGGCCTGGGAAACAAGAAAACATGGCGACTAATGCGATGTGCTCCCGTTTGGGTCTAAATAGCAGTTATTTTCAGCGTTAATTAAGATGAACCAACGCATTTGAAGTGTTGAGAGCAAGAGGTAGACTTAACGTTGTTCTTTTAAGTTGGGAAAGAAAATGTTGGACTACATTATCAATCAAAGAACTGCGACGAAAAACGTGTTGTGGCTGTTGTTTATGTTGGACGGATCCATGTTGGACAAAGCTCACAGGTTAGTTTATGGAAATCTGAACTAACCAAAGACACCTTGATCACATCATTCATTAGTTGAACGAACTGTACCAAAAGGAAGCTCAAAAAGCATGCAAAGCAAGGAACTGTTCGCATGTTCAAGTGGACTTTCGACCTACGAGGAACGGTAAATCCGAGGAACACATTACAGTAACAAACAGTTATAAAAATGGAAATGATCCTTGCAGTAAAATGGACATTATCTAAAAGGTTGAACAAGTACCGGAAAAAATTAAAGGCTTGATCGGGAATCGAATCCTGACCTACAATGAGGGACAAAAGTGTTGACACACTTCCGTAAAATGGCCCCTTTTTGCATAGTGGATATACTTATCCCCTTCCCCTGTCTACCCACACCCCTTCCCCCCCAAAATCAATGTTGAATTTTGGACCCTCAAGTCTTTTTTTTACTTCAGACAACATTGATTTGGGGGGTGAGGGGATTTACGGCGTTTAAAAAGAATGAAATAATAGATGAATTAAATATTTGCTAAAAGCAGCCGTTTTAAACAAGTGTGTCAACTACTTTTGTCCCTGATTGTAGCTATGCGATTGATCGGATGCAATCGTTTAACCATTAAACTTATCAAGCCAGCTGGAGAGCTGGCCATGGTGAGCTAGTGTACCCAATGGTGGAAATGACATGAATGGAAATAATTGAGCTTTCATGAAATGACAATTTTTTTTGGACATGTGGATATAGATATGAAAGTAGAAATGATCCTCACAGTTAAATAAATTACCCATGCAGATGAAAAAGAACCATACAGAAAATTCAGAATAGGAGGTACTTGTATATATTTCAGTTTATAAAATAACTCAGATAGTACGTGCGCTCTGATTAGCCGAGAGGCGTGTTTGCATGAGAGTATGTAAGCATGGTTGTGAGGTCAATATGTTTTGCTTTTTGCGCACTAATCACGCAAGCACGAATTTGAAAAAGGTTTTGAGTTAAAAAAATTAGCCGACAAGTTTACTTTATTTACCTATTTCCTCGTCGGCTGAAACTTGAAAAATCTTTAGAAACATGCTGTGTCAAGTTTTTTTTGCTTGAGCTGACATTTTAAGTGAGAAAAGCATCTTATTTGGAAAACAAGGACTGATTAAGTGTACAAGCTTCGAGTACAAGACTTCACGACTGGTAACAATTTCTCTTTTAATCAGTGCTCTAAACAACAGAGTTTTGCTATTTTTCTTGGGAAAGTTATTTCATAAAAGCACTAGAAAATGTTTCTTCCTGTGTTTGCACTCGCAGGGCTGGGAGAATTCTTGACCGTTATGCAAACCCTCGACTGCGTCTTGGGTTTGCATAACTGTCTCGAATTCTCCCAACCCCTCTTGTGTTTATATCAGGCTATGCAAACACAGAAAACGTTTTCTATTGCTTAAATGGTTTTTATATAAGCTTTGCAGAATCACTTTGTCGTCAAATGTTGAAAATTAACTTTATATTACTTCATGTATCTATATACTTCATGTATCTATATATAAGTAATTCAGTGTTACTGCTATTGAAAAAAAAGTTTTTTATATGAGTGGAAACAAGCAAGATTTCTGTTTTGCTAGAATGCCAAACTTTGTGGAAAGAGAGTAGTGGACTTGTTGTAGCCTTATGATCTATGTTTTTCCTTTTCTTGCACTAATTTCTTAAAACTCTGTATTTTCTATTTTTGGTATTGATCCTGTAAAAAAATACCTTTCTTATTGTTGTTTCTAGTTCTTATTGCTGTCACTTGTAGAACATGGCCACGAATTCTTGGCTTTCCCGGCTTCTGGTTTTCTGGCCGGGAAAGCCATGAAATGCCGGCCTATTTTTTAGCATGGCCAAAAAAGCCACGCTTCTATGGCCAGGCTTACCTCAAAACCCTAGCCTTGACCGGGCTTGCCAGGCTTTTCCACGCCACACTTTCCTGGCAAGCCGAGCCAAGACCTTGGCAATCCTAGCTTGGCCGGGCTTGCTATGCTTTTGACCGCGCTCCTGAGTTTCTTACTAGGAAATTTTTATTAAGATTTTTACAGTAACTTAACAAGATCTTATTAAGATCTTATTAAGTTACTGTAAAAATCTTAGTAAAAATTTCCTAGTAAGAAACTCTAAGATCTTATTAAGATCTTATTAAGTTACTGTAAAAATCTTAGTAAAAATTTCCTAGTAAGAAACTCTAAGATCTTATTAAGATCTTATTAAGTTACTGTAAAAATCTTAGTAAAAATTTCCTAGTAAGAAACTCTAAGATCTTATTAAGATCTTATTAAGTTACTGTAAAAATCTTAGTAAAAATTTCCTAGTAAGAAACTCTAAGATCTTATTAAGATCTTATTAAGTTACTGTAAAAATCTTAGTAAAAATTTCCTAGTAAGAAACTCTAAGATCTTATTAAGATCTTATTAAGTTACTGTAAAAATCTTAGTAAAAATTTCCTAGTAAGAAACTCTAAGATCTTATTAAGATCTTATTAAGTTACTGTAAAAATCTTAGTAAAAATTTCCTAGTAAGAAACTCTAAGATCTTATTAAGATCTTATTAAGTTACTGTAAAAATCTTAGTAAAAATTTCCTAGTAAGAAACTCTAAGATCTTATTAAGATCTTATTAAGTTACTGTAAAAATCTTAGTAAAAATTTCCTAGTAAGAAACTCTAAGATCTTATTAAGATCTTATTAAGATCTTAATAAGATCTAGTAAGATCTTAAGGATGACAAAGACATTAAGATATTGACAAGATCTTATTAAGAAATCTTTTAAGATATGATATCTTAATAAGATCTTACAAGAACTTAATAAGATCTTAATCTTAATAAGCATCTTACAAGATTCTTACAAGATCTTACAAGATCTTACAAGATCTTAATAAGATTTCCACCTGGGGTTACCCTCATGTTTGGCTTGAACATATAGAGGTTGTCTCAACAGGCCACCCCTGCAAAATGCAGCCTTAGGGCAAAGACTTCATGAATGCTTCTCTTTAACTGGGAAATATATTAAAAATAAGAACAAATGTAGCCATATATGATAATTATAGTTGGTACCAAAGAGACAAAGATTAATATTGTTTCCATCATTATTGTTATTATTTTAGAGAATAAAAAAATCCGTGTTAGACTCCAGCTGGTATCAGAAATATGAATGAGACTAAAAATTGCAATGGACCCAGAGAATGACCTACTGGAGCCTCCTGCTGATAAAACCGGTCCATTTGGTGACCTAGACAGTGATTATGATGATGACGATAGACGAGAGTTGATAAGCCATTATGCCAATGAAAAATATCTCAGTAAATGGGAAGAGGTTGATGATGAGGAGTCACAACAAGAGCCATCAAGCACTTTACATGTTCATATACCAAATAGCTCTAATAATGATTCACAGTAAGTAATACTTTTTAGAACTGAACATTGTTGTTATGCTTAATTGCTACTGCTAGGATCACATTAGATTATCGAAACACTTGACGTACCTGTAGCCGTGCAGGTTCAGTTGGGTTCGGCCCTGTGTACAGCTTAAGCTTGCAGTTGCTGAGCTTCATTATGTGGGAAAGGATTGCACTTTTAGAGTCAAACCTCCTTTGTTTTAAATCAAAAGGTTCAATTTGTCTAATGTTAGCCTCCTTGACCGACACAATGTACACCAAAGTCAAAAAAAGTCAAAAGTTCATGTGTAAAATATGAAACTATCAGTGTCTGTTGGCCTCAGACATTAATTTGGGCCAATGTGTCGGTGAATTTTTCTCAATTTTTGGGAACATTTCTAACTCAGAAACAGCTTATGTACACTTTCTTTTAAATGCTGTGATATATTAAGTGCAAAACGTCTTCTCAAGGTTTAAAAACGCCTCTGATAAATATTTTGTGGATCAAACACAAATCAGGCCAGGTGTCTCAAGCTGTCAAAAAGTCACACACTTTGCATGCAAACATAATTATGTTTAAAACCCTTCAATCTTCAGTTATTACTTGGTGGTAAAACATGCCATGTTGCTGTCTCTTAGAGCATGTTTTTCCATCACCTGTCTACGTGTAGATTTAAACAATGACAATTTGAGTCATTGGTTAATATCTCTCTGTGGCAATCTGATATTCTATTATACTGGTACAGTGTTCTCCTTATTAAGCCATAACTGGTAAAATTTACCATCTGAAGTAACACTTCTTACCGCCTGTAACGGCTTGAAGGTTTACTAAAATTAAATAAGTTGTTATAAAAAATAGGCAAGTTGTGATCTCAAGTTGTGATCTGATCCGGTCAAGGTATAAATGAGTGAATGTATGGAAGTGTACTAAAGTATACACAGCTTTTCTGTTTATGGGCCACGCATTTTGGAAAGAGAGCATTGCAAACAGAGTAAAAGTATTGGAATCAAACGTTTTAAATTGTTGTCTAAAGACAACAACGGCTGATTTACGTAAAAAAAAAGGTTTTAAAATGAGGGAATGACATTTCAGAGAACTTGGCTCCTAAATTTCACAGCAAGGCTGTAGCCATGTCAATCACCCCAAGTGCTAACCCACTCGCCTTACTAGTCATGAATGATCCCTTACCTGCTGAGCTAAAATTTAGGCAGAACACTGCTGGTCTGAAGCCCAATTAATTTATAATATACACTGTATTGATCGTTTTCACATTACGTCATGGCGGCCATATATGTGTACAAAACAATGAATCGGTGGCCATGTTTGTGTACAAAAAAAATGCTCTGGGAATTGGACTCTTTTCACATGTTAAAACTTTCTTTTATTCCAAGCAATTTGCAAAGCTGCTGACCACGTTATTGAAACGATCTATATTCTGTGTTTCAGAAAAAATCAGACAGGGGACAGTAAACTTGGAAAAGATCATCTAGTTGCCATGCCCTTTGACTATGACAATATGTCACTTATGTCATACAACAGCATCAGGGACTGCACCCCATCAGCTACCCCAAAGACTACTCCTACAGGACAGTGTTACCCTGGCCAACTCCCTCAGTCTACTTATGAAAATTTACAGGTACACGTGCTGGGTGTAACATTTGTTCTCCTATGCAGGGTGCAAAGAAAGTCAGATGAGTGGGACTTACTTGTGTTAGGTTTTAAGTTCATCATCAATTTGATTTATGGTGTAAAAGTAATTATGCCACTCTTTTAGCACCAAAATGATCACAGTGAGACGGCAGATGTTGGTCCCCTAAACTTTTATGTTAAAAAAGAATAGCAAATTAATACATAGATAAATACAAGTACATTTACTATCTCACTATACTATTGCTTGAGCTGAAATTGAACCAGGGGAAAATATTTAACTATTAGTAGTTTGCATTCCAGATTATTAATATAAAACTTTACTATGGAGAGCTTGTCTGTTTGTTACATAAACTTGTACCCCAGGCATGTTTAAAAAAATGTTGTCTGATGACCCTCGTAGTTGGTTTACTACTTCTGATTACTACCATTACTGTCATTGCTTTATTCAGTCTCCTCTTTTTTTTTCGTGTTAGAGACCTTTAGATTCAAGGATGAGGAAACTTCTCCCATTTGCAAAATGATTGATAACCTCACTAAAACCGGGTGTTTCTTGATGTTGTGGAAAGTATTGTTGATAACTTATCACCTGGCTTATGGTGTTGTAGTGTGCGAATTATCCAGTGCCTTTTCAATCGTTTGTATTACGTCATTTGGTGATGTCACCCTTCCACAACCCCAAGAAACCACCCTAAAACCCGTAGTAGAATGACGATAGTTACCACTTTTTCCCGTCAAAATAACGCTGGTTCACGCGCGCATTACTTAGTATTGAGAACTTCTCGTCCTCGTAGCCATCCTCGTCTTAGAATCCAGAGGTGTCTATTGCCACTTCTGCTGCTCTGTGACTACCATGATCATCACCACTCCTACTAATGTTGTCACTGCATACTACCACTGCCACTGCCACTGCGATCACTACTAGTACCAAGTTTTCTATGGCTACCATCACCTTCTGATGACTGTAACCGCTGCACTCGTCACTGCTTTTATTACTCCCTGTCGTCAACTGCAATGCTGCTGTCATTACTGCTGCTTTCACATCTGGGGTACTGCTGTTTCTGCCACTTCTACTGCTGCTGCTGTTGCACTGCCACTGCTCCTTAGCGTAACTTAATTTAGCACCTGTCGCCAATTTTCGGCAGGGTAACTGCAACAACGTGAAGCCATTTATTACTTAGTTCTTGCCTGGTCTACTACCAGTGATTCACAAATTTTGGGCCATTAATTTTAGCTTTGGAAAGGCTATGGAGGCAACATATACTTCGATGCTGTCAGATGCAAGTCAATGAGAATCAACAGCGCAAAATCAGCAACTACCAGGAAAGAAGACCGTGCAAAGAGATGGAAATCCAAGTCGTGTTCTCCTTTAAAGAGGAAAGACGAGCGACAAGCTCACACGACTTGTATTCCCAACACTCATGAGGAAGTCCCTCTTACGTCAGTCCACAATTTGGGTAGTCTGCGGGTGAGGTCATGCAAAGAGAAAAAATGCAAAGTGATTAACTGCAGGCATAAGGACACAATAAGACCTTTTGCGGGAAAGATCGCGAAGGGTTTCAGTGAGAAAATTGTGAAAGAAACAATTCAAAAAGTTCAGGAGGACTACGGTAACAGTTTGCCCAAGGAACAGTCTTTGGCTGTTTCTGGAGGCCAAGTTAGAGACCCAGTTGTAGATCCCATTGAGAAAGTGCAACAGTTTAACACGCAGCACGGATTTCCTGCACTGCTCGCGGACAGCTCTTTTTTCTCGCATCATGGTGAGACCAAAAGTTCACGTGTTGCTTCAGGTGACATTGACCCCTTTATAAAACTTCCACTCCTTGGGAAGAATGGTTGGAAGCATAGACTGAATGAGGTTGGTTCTGGAGTGTCAGATGAAGGGAATAAGTCTGTCAATGAACCCAAACCGGTGTTCATTATTCCTTTTGGTGCATTTGATGATCCAGTAGATGCCGACTCAGATTTGAAACGCAAAATGGACACAAGAGAGAAAGCGTCCAGTAAAACAACTGCAGATGGAACAGATATATCATTGGGCAATACAACAGACGTAGGCAATCACTCAGAAAGGCTTGATAGCAACTTAAACATTTCGAGTGGTAACAACAATAACTTTGCTGAAACTGCTACCTTTAGAGGCGGGGAAGGTAGTGATGGTGTAAAACGTGAAGTCCCTTCTTCCGTTTCAGCAGTCCATGATGAGAAATCGCCGAGAAAAGGAATACCTGACTTTCACTTAAAGAGAGAAATAAGTAATCTTTCACTGAGTAATTATCTAAGGGCAGTCCCCACACCAAGATCTCAGAAGCATATCAGACTGACCTCTACTCAATCAACTCTGGTGCCAAAGATGAGTTATACGAAAAGGTCTCGTGCACTGCCTACATTTTACATGGTGAATAGCCCGCTACATCATGTTCATCACTCGGAGGTAAATCAGAGGATGATCGGCTCGCAAGTTTATGGAGGGTATTATCCAAGCACTGGGAGGAGGGAGCCCGCAATATTTTACGCAGAAATAAGCACGTGTAAGGAAGGAAACTCGCTAGTTAGCAGTAGTAGTGCACAGAACACCAACCGAAGGACTAAGAGCTCAGATAGTCATAGAACCAGTGTAAACTCACCAAGGCTTCCAAAGCACACCCCTCTAAAGGCTAGTTATGTTTCAAGAAACTCATTCTCGCGTCAGAATTCTGAACGGTCACCAAGAGGCGATGGAAGACTAAGTAGGTCTGAAAATAATTTGCTTCCAGTGACAGGCCAGCAAATTTCTAGGGTTAGTGGGGTTCATGATAGATAATATCAAATTTAAATAGCCTGTCACTTGTTCCTTCTAAGTCTGTTAAGTAAGTGTTAGAAATAGTAATAAGCAAAGGTTTGTTGCGGGCGACAACGATCGAAGTTCAAAACGCTTTTGCCCCAGCGCTGTGCTTTGCCGAAGTTTCGCGTGACATGTAGTCAAAACACGCGTGATCAGATTACGAGTGACAGAAGGTTCAAACGCGTGTGATCAAATTGCGTTATGTACATTCCATACATTCTTAGTGGAAGTCCAAATGAATGCTGGCTACTCGTATAAACATAAAAACTTTCTTTAATTTTCCAGACATGTTTCGACGGTACATCCGTCATCTTCAGTGTTACATATCATAGTTTTCAAAATATGCAACACTGAAGATGACGGATGTACCGTCGAAACATGTCTGGAAAATTAAAGAAAGTTGTTATATTTATACGACTATCTATATTGTTGCTGCTATCTAGACCTAATGCTGACTACATACATGCGACGCATGCGTAATAACAACCTGGAGATGGATTGCGGGCTCCTCTTGTAAGCGAACCTCAGGGATGGAAATGGCAGATATCCACATTGAGACCAGAGAGCTGCTCGCATGGTGCTTTGAAATACGTATTCAAGTAATGCAAAATTTAACTACGCCGTGATTTACAGACATTTAGGTTTAAGGCTTGTACTCTTACTAGCGCGGAGAGGCAATTGTTTCACTCTTCAATGGAAATGCAGACGTTTATGAAAACAATAATTATTTTGATACATTTCATTGGACAGACATATAGACAACAGAAACTAAAAGATATATAAGTGGAGCTTTTTGGAGTAACTAAGAGTCTTCAAAGCCAAGTCCCAAAAGTAAAGTCTAAAATACTATTTACAACGAAAGTAATGAAAAAGCACGCTTCTGTTGCTGATTGCAGAAGTCGTGGGTCAAACCGCGGTGAACAAATCTCCCTTCCCACTTTCCCGTATAACGCAAATCTTGTAAACATAGACGAACTGACGTGTCAGTGTGAATTGTTAAGGATTTGTATGTATATAGTGTACTATAAGATTAATATATGAGTCCAATAAAGATTCACTAAACTGATTATAAAATGGTAGTGTTATAGAAAGCTGTTTAACGTGTCCCGTATATAGTTGTTCACTGAAAGCGATTGTGCTCGGTAAGAGTTTCAAAAACTCGAAAAAACACATCTTTTTTCCGTTAGGAAACCCCAGAACGATTAACGATGATCTTTGATGAATGTTTTGAATCGTGGTAAAGCGCGCGATGTTGCTCGGGACGATTTGCAACGAAGATTCTAGAATTTTGTTTACGTTGCGGTACCCTGGAATACACCCTGAGTATCTATTTTTCTCAGTAGATGAACCCGATTAGTTCTCCCCACAGTCAGCAGCCTCTGACGGATCCCGTTAGCGGCGCTGTTTCTTCAGAATTTCACCTTGTGCTGATGAATAAGAGGAACTATGAACCTACAGTGTGTGCCCACAGTGCGGTGAACCGTGTATAGACCCTAGCTTTTTCCTGACTTGTCTGTACGTTATTAGACAGGTAACTGTTATTTACAGTTATAAGCATGAATGAATCAGTATTGTGACTTCAAATCGATTGTGCAGCAATGCCTAGTTTAATTGCGTTAGTCTGCTATAAAGTGCGTACGTCTTAACAGTTGAGTCACGGAAGACTAGGACGGTTAAGCGCAATGAAAGAGAAAGCTTATCAAATAAGAGGCGATTCTGGGGGGGGGTGGAGGGGCTGGTTTTGATGGACAAAAAAGGAAAAGGGAAAAAAAGAGAAAGAGCAGTAAATCTAGAACCGTATATTATATACATGTTACAACGAAACTTATTCAGCTGTCAGGATGAACCGTTACCAAATACCTAGGTTGCGCACTGTCATAAATTATCCTTGGATCGCCGTCTTTATATTACTTCTAAGTCTGATGTTGTTCACCTCTGTCACTGGGGCTAAGATAATTTGAAAAGACATAACAAGAAAATCACGGTGAGGAAGCACCTCTCCATACATTCACAAATTGACCTGTCAGTTTTACACTTCGTTTGGCTTATGAGTTATTCGTCACCAAAAATCTGGATGACATGACAGCTGCTCATATCTATTTTTCGATCAAAAGTAATGGCGGAAGTGAAACTTGTAGTGGCCTCTAAAATATCTGTAAATCGGCTTAACCTTTCCAGTAAACGATCTTTAGTCATTGTTAGATTGAAACAGTATTAAACTTTTAACTTGACTGCCCACTTGTGCAGTTCTTGTAGTTTATGAGAAGGGGAGTAAAACTGAAACAACGTGTATGTGCTTCAGCGAATCATTAATTCAGCCACGAAGTTGAACATCAAGTCGCATTACAGATGTGCAGATAGTAGGTACCGTTTTAGATTTTGCCACCTGTGTCTGTCACTGGGGTCAATTCAAGTGGAAACAAATAACGCCATTAAAAGCATTACCCAAAATCTTAGCAACTCAAATAGCTACATTGACTCTTTCAGTTCTAACACTAGGCGCACAAACTATTGAGTAGCCAGAACATTATACAAACTGCAATGCTTATCTAATTTGATGGTAAGGAGATATGAAGGTGTAACTGATACTTCAGCTGAAATTTCATGACGTCCCAACAATGCGTGATGATCCACTCGTGCACGATAAGTGGCCAATGAGCAAGCTGCACTGATTAGTGAACTATCGTTTCTGGTAGTCACTGAAGCGCAGCTGAAACCAAAGTACACGCAGTTGGTAACATAAAGCAGGAACTGACGAGCTGAAAGCTATCTGCTCAGTTTTAGAAGTGAGCGCAGAACTGGTAAAATAATGGACAGTTTGTTTACTCTGCCCATTTTAACCATTTTCATTGTCTCTTCATGTGGCTTTGGCAGTAGTGAGCAATACGAGACCTCACAAAGCAGGGTAAGTTATTGAACATTTTGATGTTGCATTGATAATTATAACACTGTGGTGGTATAGCGCCTCAAACGGGCTCTTTTTTCTTTCAGGTTTTGCCCAACAATGGAAATCACAAAGAAGACGTTAAGCTGCCACGCACCAAGAGAAGCATCGACCTCAACCCATTGTTAAGTATGTAAGACAACTGGTACTTGTTTGCTGGACGACTTGTCAATGTCAGTCTTTTTACTGTGTGTTGAGTGTTTCTAAGCGCAAATTAAAGAATACAAATCGTGAGGGGTTAAAGCCATAGTGCGGTAATGGGGACAAAGCAAGCTGATTCAAATATAGAGGCTTTAATTTACATTTTTACTTGTTATGCCCCTCTCTCTGTCTACGTCTTGTTAACAACACTGCCTCGAAGCTCGGCCTATGATCTGTGAGTAGAATTATCCTAGTTAGAGGTAATCGCAAAGCTATTATTATTGTTTCTTTTTAAAGTTTTGACATCTGGTGCTCAACGGATTTCGCGCTTCATAAATCAACTAAATTTGGCGTTGTTTAAATTGTCGAATGGAACATGACAGCCTTTATTGATTAAGTAACAGCTGAAGTATCAACGTTAAACAGTTATTGAAAGAGTTATGATAAGGATAATTAACAATTATTCCTCGAAACCGAATGGGCTCTGAGTCAATAGCCCATGAGGCCGAAAGCCAAATGGGCTATTGACTCAGAGGCCATGAGGGCGAGAGGAATAATTGTTTTAGTAAATTAGCTAGGTAAAAGCTAGACTGTAATCTTTTTTTGCCGCCGAAAAGCCCGCGCTTTTCGCTACTAGTGAGCTATAACTTATAGCCTAGTAGTAGCTCAGCCAATCAGAACGTAGCATTGATAATAAACCACTAGTTGGATTTTACTAATTGTCCATATCGAGGAGGGTGTTATCCATAGAAGCCAAAGGCCAAGGTGGTAACACCCTAGCACTGAGGTCTGCATAATTCGTCATACAGTTGAACCTCTCCACAACGGCCACCTTGGGGACAGAAGAAAGTGGTTGTTTGAACTGGTGTAAAACTGAAGTTATTTTATGGGATATTGTAGAGGCGACGAAAGAGCAATCTTCATACCTTGGCCATGAAAGTGTTGAGGAATTTATTGGTTCCAAATCCAGACACCACGGCCTGAGTAAACAATATATAAGGTTGTCTCTTATTTATTTAGTTGTTGCCATTGTGTCAATACTTGTCGTCGACTTTGAGTTTCCTTATGTCTGTAAATGCAGTTTATCACAGCGCCAAAGTAAAGTATCCATTATTTAAATTGCATTCCAGTTTATCGCTGTTCCCTTCCTCTTGGTTTGGAAAGCGGTCAAGTGCATGATGCTGCATTTTCAGCCTCTTCGATGGCAGGATCGAAAAACGGCCCTGAACGCGCGAGGTTAAATGGTCAAGGTTCCGGGGGCTGGGTGGCAAAAGCGAACAACGGCAGTCAATGGCTTCAAATCGACCTTGGAGAGCTGGTTCGAGTTACTAAGGTGGCAACACAGGGGCGGCGGGACGCTGATCATTGGGTAACACAGTTCAGTCTGTCATACAGCTTGGACGAGACGCACTGGGCTGAATACAAGGAAAACAGTGTCACACGGGTCAGTTAATAGGATAAATCACTGTTTACAAACATTGTTTTTCAGTTGTTGTTCATATTTTTAATAAGTGAAACAAAAGAATATTTTTTTAAAGAACCAATGCATTATTCTTCTGGTTGGCGCATTAATATCAGTAGTTAACACCAGCGTGTTTATCGCTGTACCAAAGGTTGTCAGGCAAAAAAGCCATTTCATTCCGGATACTTTTCAATGACGTGTTTGTCATTTGCGTTTTCATTGATATCAGTGCGACAGTTAAAGGACAGTGTCACGATATTTTCAATAAAGTCATTAACTTGCAACTTATTTGCAAATGATTTGGAAATTGAAGGGGTTGAAAACAAAACAAAAGAAAAACAGTGAGGTAATAATAATGATGATGACGACTTTGATGATTATGATGATGATTTTGAAACGTAGCTGCATCAAATCAAATTGGCTTTCTGTTTTATATAAGGGATAATCATAATAAAACTGCCGTTTTATGTAGGGCATCAGGTGGTGTGAGAATAAATGTGTCTCATTTATAACGTAAACTTGGCGATGAAAATGATCATTCCAGTGGATCAACAAACCTTTATTGAACGGTTTTAATTTTGATGGGAGTTGAGGGTTTAATGAAACGTATCTAATTGTTGACCGTTTCCTTTCAACTCCGGTTACCTTAATTCGATTATTAGGGCCATAACATTCACTTCACTTCCGTAAATTAATCCTTCTAGATATTCCTGGCTAACAAGGACAGAAATACCATCGTGAAACACCTGCTTCAGACAGAGTTCTATGCCCGACTTGTGCGTTTCCACCCTAAAGCATGGAATGAGCGTGTGGCAATGAGAGCAGAAGTGTATGGGTGTAGGAACGGTAAGTTTGGCGTCGTTAAAGGTTGTTTCCAGTCGAGACGAAGCTACCTTTGAGCCATTAAGCCCAGGCTTAACAGCTTAACAGTTTGCGTCAGTAAGATTTATTTATCGATCCAGCACCCCAAAATAAAAATTTCATCAACCAACCAATTTCTTCAAATACACAATTCACGTCATTCACGTTCTTATTGGATAAACTGTGTACATGCCAAGGAAGTTTACGTAGATAAAAACTTTCTTGTTAAATACTGTAGATTTGAGTTAGAACGTAACTTTCAAGTTTTTAATTTGCTTGTTGATTTTTAGGTGTGTCGTTGTTTATAGTTTTTGAAAATACAGTTACTCCTCCTGCACATTTGTGGAAAACGAAGCTGTTCTTG